TGATGGCGTAGTTGGGAGCGCGTTCGACTGAAGATATTCAAATATACCTTCGGAAAATCGGAAGGTCGCTGGTTCGATCCCGGCTCACCCCATTTTTTTCCCCCTTCTTCTTTTTCTCTTATTCTTTTTAACCCCCCGTAGGCTTTTCTGGTGTTTCGTGGACGGTCTGCAGTGGTCTTATATCAAAGAAGAAACCACTAAAAGTAAGAAGTCATCAGGCTTCGCAGCTGTTCCTCGCCACATATGCTAGTTACACCGTATACCTCTCTGCACATAGACATTAGGTGTGCTATGTAAAACCTACATCCTCGATAGCCTCATCAGGCATTGTCTCAGTTAACCGTTGGGTTGATTCATTTCTTTGCTACCACCGGGGGTTGTTGATCCATTGTTCTCGCGTCATTGTTCTTTATGGCTGCCAAAGAAAGCGACTTTCTTTGAAAGTGATCAAATTCAAATTATATAAATCATCCAACGAACTGCTTTTCCAATTCTCTCTTTTTCTTCTGAGAATCTTCGGCCTCTTCGCACCCTTGCTGTCTTCGGCATACTACTTGTACTCCGGGTAGCCTGCCCGTTGCCCGTGCCAGGGCCAGGAAGTATACTCGGGGGCATACCGTTAAAACCGATTGAACTCCCAATCCGCCGTAAGCGGTATTTGCCATAAATTCGGAGGTGGAGGGACGAAGTAGAATCCTGTTCCTGTTCCCGTGCAGTTTTCTGTGGGTGTGGCACTGAAAATGCCGGGGAGTAGAGATGACTTACTGATCGAGGCCGGCCCGACGACAGTCAGTGAATGATTATTCCGCGAGTGAATGAAAATTTCGTCGTATTTTTCAGCAAGTGGGGTGATGGCGTAGTTGGGAGCGCGTTCGACTGAAGATATATCAAAGATGTGTCTCAGATAATCGGAAGGTCGCTGGTTCGATCCCGGCTCACCCCATATATTTTTGCTTCTGCTCCTTCCATACCGTGGGTAGAAAAAAAAAAAAAAAAAAAAATTTTTTTTTTATCAAGCCTGTTCATCACCAGTGACGGTACTGTCTATGTGAACACCGGATCCAGCAGTGAGCTGATTTCAAGCATTTTTCCGATGGTATTCCCGTCCCGTCGCGGGTGGACTTATTGACTGGTTCAAAGAGCTTTGGGAGCCGGAACGAGTGTATTACTACTGTGATCTACTGTTATCCTCATTACGCATTGTTTCAGTTCACCGTTGGGGTTGATTCATTTGTTTGCTGAGATCAGGGCCATTTTTCTCGCCTCATTGTTCTTTATACCCGAAAGCGACTTTGCTTTTCCCTTCAGAAGATGTTCGGCCTCTTTGGTCTTTGCCGTCTTCGGCATACATACTTGTAGCCTCGAGTAGAGATAACTGATCAATTATTTGCGAATGAACGAAAGCTTTCATTTTATTTTTCATCCAATGGGGTGATGGCGTAGTTGGGAGCGCGTTCGACTGAAGATATTCAAATATACCTTCGGAAAATCGGAAGGTCGCTGGTTCGATCCCGGCTCACCCCATTTCTTTTTGCTCTTTTTGCTTCCGTTTCGTGCTTAATCGGGGTCTAAATAAACCCAGGTACGGGTGGTAGAAGTTGCCCGAGCGTGGCCTGCATAATGCATATAAGTATGCGCATGTTCTCTCCAAATCAATCAAAGCACAGTAGTAAACTCCGTACAGAGTACAGCGATGGAGAGTTTCGCCTCCAACTGACAGCTGTTTTTGCTCGTGTGATTCAAACCCTACCACAAGAGATGCGATCTGCGAGCTGCTAGCTGCATTGTCTTGGACCCTTCCTCTGTCTTGGCAGCTGAGTCTCGACTCTGCATATGAATTGATATTCCTTGGGCTTCCTGTTTAGCTATATCATAAACGATATGGGATCGTTCCGTTTCCGGCGTTACCCGATCTATCCGTGTCTCTGGCATGGACAATTCCCTTATTTTGGCCTGTAACCCTCGGATTATCGCAAAATAGACATTATGAAATCAAGACAGTGATTTAGCCCAAGTCTATTTGAGTCATTCTTGATCCAGTTACAAAGTAGCAACAACAGCCGAGGATAACCACTTCTTGGCATTACTTGGCCAACATAAACCTACTCCAGTAGAACCGTGGACGGTGAGAACGTGGGTTAATCGTTGCCCCATACACGTGATGTGACAGGATTCGATAAAGAACGGCCGTGGAAGCGTTCTCAAGAAACTGTAAATCACCACCAACGAACGTTCCCTGCTCAATTGCAGTTCGAAACCCGAGCACGCGACTGTTTTCCCATTTTCCCACAAACTGATCTCATGTGGCTGCAGTATGGCTGGCGGATTTCTTCCTTACCACGAGCCTAGCAGTACGTTGCCTTGGCCTTGGTTTAGATAAACAGTATCGATGCTAACTGCCATAGTCGTGGAAATCCTGGTTATCATCTCATTTTTCTTCATCCTCTGCTTGGCAGAATGGCTTTCTGCCAAAGTTATCCGAGCCGGGATTATTGGCAATATCGCAGTGGGCATCATTTACGGTGTGCCGCTGGCCAATATCCTGGAAGTCAATTGGCAAAAGACCTTCCTGGCGCTGGGATATATCGGATTGATCTTGATTATCTTCGAAGGTCTGTTTTTGGCACATTGTATACGGTTATTGATGTTGACGTCATGGTAGGTGGTCTTGCCGCTCGACTAGATCTTCTCAAGAAGAATCTCGTGTTGAGTAATCTGGCTGCTACGACCGGTGTTTGTTTTCCGATTGGGCTTTCGTATCTATTGTTGTATCTGGGATATGGCTATGGTGCCGTCGAAACATTCATCATTGGCGCTGCGCTGTCGGCTACGTCTTTGGGTACGATCGCTTCCCCGGATTTCTTGGGACGGACTCTAACAGAATCTCAGGCACGACATTTGCCGTGATCTCATCGGCCTCCAAGACCATCGATCTTGGCCAAACTCGAGTGGGCTCAGTGCTCGTGAGCGCAGCGGTTATTGATGATGTCTCTGGACTTGTCATGTCTAGGTTAGTCTAATCTCTTGCTGGATGGCGATTCCATAAACATACTGACCAACACAGTGTAATTGGCGACCTGAGCAAGCTCTCAGGGGACGGAGACGTCAATCTCGGCTGGCTCATCGGGCGTCCCATAGTAGCCTCCATCGCCATGACGATAGTCACGCCCATCGTCACAAAGTACTTATTCGCACCCGTCTTCCGAAAATACGTCGAGTACCACTTCGCGCGTTACGACCACATCTCGAACATCGTGCTGATGGTCCTAGTCCTGTGCGCATTCATCAGCATTGCCTCGTACACTGGGACATCGATTCTATTCGGTGCTTTCCTGGCCGGCACATTCCTCACTTATCTTCCTAGCAAGCATCCTGATGGACCGTTTATTGTGACGAGCCGGGAAGAGGGCGAGAGGGAGGCGGATAAGAGCCCGACTTTTGTGCATACGTTTGAGGCTTATCTGCTAGGTGTGCAGGAGTATTTGATGGCGCCTCTTTTCTTTGCGAGTATTGGTTTTGCGATTCCTTTTGTGCAGCTTTGGACGGGGAAGCGCATCTGGAGAGGGGTGCTGTATACGCTGCTCATGGCGTTTGCGAAGGTAAGCCACTATCTGGGTCAGATGTATATCCATTTTCTAACCATGATAGCTCATCGTTGGAATATGGGTTCCATTATGGGAGGTTCTCGCGCACTTATTCACCAAAGAAAAGTCCGAGCCTCAACCATCCCGCCGGGCCAAAGAAACCGAAGATACAGAGCACGGCCCTTCGCCCCCAACCGAGGACAACCGCAAATCCCACGCAACCTGGCTCTCAGCTCTCCTCCTGGGTTCAGCAATGGTAGCCCGAGGCGAAATCGGCCTCTTGATCATCGAGATCGGATACAACTCGACCTCGTATGTCAGCGAGGAGGGCTTCATTACGGGTGTATGGGCTATTCTGCTCAACACGATTATCGGTCCTATTACTGTTGGTGTGCTGATGAAGTTGTATGGGAAGCATATTGGAGAGGGGAGATGGGGATTGCAGGATCAGATCGTGTATGGGCAGAGGGAATGACATGTGCGGGCTTGTGCAGAAGTGTATGTCACTTTGATGGTGTCGTATACAGCGCATCTCGTCCGTGGTGGACATGTTTCGATCAGGTATAAAAAAGAGAGAATAGAACCCAAGAGTGAAATCAATGGGATGGGTCGGGATAACCAATGGCAGATCTTCCGATATCAGTCCGGCGGATTCCTTTCAACATGGCAGTATGTAACCTATCTTTGCGATACCAAACATATTGGTATAATCGCTTACAGATATCCATAATCCCTTTACCGGAAAGTCTGCCGCTCTTCATGGCAACTTCTATGTTCCCTCTCACTCAGACAGCGTCTGATCATTGTTCTTTCTACTCTAACTCACTCTTGTCTCCTTTGCTTGCCATGCTCATAAATTGTTCCTTTTTATGCTATTTAGTGGATCCAGTCCCATATCTTAACATTTTTGTCCCAACATTCGAATTTCAACTCTCTACTTCCTCCATGAAATTCATTCAGGAAGACGATGACTGAGCTGACCGAGCAGCAGATGGCTGGAGTTTTCGAAAATGCCCCAACCAGGTTATCAACGAGAGCGAGGGAGCGACAAACTAAGTACGGCCGAGGAAACATGGCCCCTCTTTGACTCGGGCCCACTTGAACGAAGATCAAATATTTGAACAACAAATAATTCAGGGTCTTGTGCGGACAAGTGTGAACACCAAAAATGTGGATAAGCTGGCTGTGTTCGTGTTTCGGCTCATAGGCCAGACCGACTTCCGCTGGATCAGCTTTGTCTGAAAGAGGGATTCCTTCTGATCAACCCCAAATTTTAATTGCCCCTATCTCTTGCTTCTGAAATTGGGTCATCGCCGCTTCTATGTTTTGTTTTCTTTTGCACTTTTTTTTTTTTTTCTTTGAAATTTCATTCGTCTTGCCCTGTAGCCTTTTCTATCAGCGGGCACTCTCGAGCAACCAAGGCGCGATAATTTTGGCCTAGAGCCTCCTCTTCTTTTTTTCCTAAAGACTCTTGGCTTCCTCGGGAAGTACTCCATACAGTTGCATAATATCAGCAGCGGCAATGTCATCGTCCGATAACTCGTACTCCTCGCCGTATGGCTTCGCTCTCCGCCGAGATGGGACGTGCCACAGCAACGAGACAAGTTGCGCCAAAACATGGGCCGACTGGTATGCCTGTTGCCCAGGTGAGACTCAATGTACTGGAGGCGAACGTAATTGGGTCTGTTGTCCAACAGATGGTGATTGCACCGGCAGGCTGGAGCTGAACCCTCACTGCGGACTGAATCAAACCTGGAGCATGTTTGACAAGGAAGGCTATTTCTGCTGTCTGGAGGGACAGACTGGCTTCTACAACAAAAGCAATCCCGGTCTTGTCGGTGTAGGGTGTTCAGACGGACCCCCAAGCGGCGAAGGAGTCGTCACTTTGAATCTGAAAACACAAGGTTCGTATCGTCGTCACATACTGGCGTTGCCGGTCGTCAGTCACTAACTTGAGATTTCCAGCGCCGCAATCCAGTTCTTCTTCAGCGCCCACATCCAACGGCTCATCCGATCACACAGGCGCCATCGTTGGCGGTGTTGTCGGAGGCGTGGTCGGCTTAGCGGCAATCGCAGCGCTTCTCTGGTTCTTCACCTGGCGACGACAGCGGCAAAACCAGCCACCCGTGTATGCTTCGCACCCGCCACCATCATGGCTGGCCAATGGAGGATTCCAGCCAGGCATGGTGCAGCAAGACTTTCAGGGAATCAAGAACGACAACATGGCACCGCAGAACTACACCTATCCGGCTGAGATGGAGCATTCGGAGCGACCGCCCGCAGAATTACCAAGCGGCGGTTATCAATGATGGTCTGTCTTTGCTTGTTTACTGCGATAATACTCTGTTTATAGACATACGATCTGGACTCGCTTTTCTTCCTGTTACGTTTTTCACCTCTTGCACATGTACTTAATTCAGAAACTCAGCAGGGCGGCTCAGGCGTCCGCAAGGCTCACTTATTTGGAAGATCATTCCCCTCCCAAGCTTTACCGGAGGACAAGCAAATACCGATAACGGTAATGATATGACAGTAAAAGGAGCTAGTGCTCGCTACGTGGCCAAATCAGCCTCGCTCCAACAATCCCTGGCTCGAGGGGAATCGGTGTCAATCTCGAGCACGAACTTTGCCGATCATTATTAGGGTGATAGTATTCGGGCTAATCCGACTTATGTGTGGGCTCGGTAGGAGTTTGAGGCTCTCTGACATAACTTCTCTGATAGTTAACTACATGCTAAACATCAATGGAATTCAAAATCACACCATTTATTATCTGTATCTCAGCCGTGGGACGTCTTTGTTTGGCGGTATAAGTCTTGAACCATCTGCATAGCGGAGTGTGCCCTTATAAGGGCAATCATGACCTATGGTTGACAACAGTAATAATAAGCGGTACTCAGTCTACGGAGTATGCTAAACAAAGCATGTATGTTGGTGTTCTTACAAGTCTTTATGCTTTGTGGTGACAAAGAAAGTATTAAAAGGCATGTTTTAGTCAGGTCTCTTTGGGAAAGGTGTACGTACTTACGCCAGGACATAGCATTTGTGATTTCCATTCAATAACCATCACCATCTTTTCTTCTTCTGGGCTTGCTACTTTATTTATTGCTCTCTCGTCTCCCTTTTTTGCATCCCACTTGGGATCTCTACATTGTTGCTCCTTTTGCTTTTTTCTACTTACACTTTCCCTGTAACTTGCAACGTGGAGGTTACTAAGTGTCAAGGGTCTGGTAAGTTCTTCCATTTTGTTGAGACTCGCTGTGACGCTGCAAAGGGGCTAACCCTTTTACTTGGTAATCAATCTAGATACTACATATTCTTCCCTTGAACTCATACGTGAAAGCAATGGAGGCCAGGGAAAGATTGCAGCATCGCATAACTGCGCCCCCTTTTGCGCATTGACCAAGGACCCCTTGACGATATAAGCGACAGCCTCTGCAACCATGGCGACTGAAGCCAACACCACCGACGGCGGGCCGAACCCGCACAGCGGGCGACATCAGCTTGTCTAAGTCACAGAACCCTCTGCTTGGAATGAGGACCTGGACCTGGGAGTTATTATTGAGGGAGGAAGGCCCGGCATGAGCTGAAGTTTATTGGAAAGGAGCTCCCTCTGTTTGTCTGGAAGTACAGAGAGCGCATCAAGGATGCAATCGATTTCTTTTACGACACGTTCGAGCCGGAAAACAGAGATGAAACGAACCCAAATGCCTTCCTTCCCTGGGAGCTGCCGTGAAGACAAGAAGGAGGTTACAGGTGAGCTGTAGGTAGGTCAAAGGTCGTGTCAGGCAACTAGTTAATCCAAATTGAGCGCTTAGTAAATAACGTAATCTAACAACTATCACCGAGCTGGCCACATCCGCGACCACCTACTAATCATATTTGCAATTTATCCACAACCACAACCATGGCTGATAATTCAAAAGAAGATCGCATGAAACTAGCTAGTATACACAATCCGCAAAAAAAAAAAAAAAAAAAAAAAAAAAAAAAAAGCATACCACCGACGTCCGAACCACCCGAGCATCACCAACCAACATCTCCATTCAACCCGCCCAATTCCAAACACTGTACCAGACAGAGTACACGATCCAAAAGCAAAAAAATGGGGTGAGCCGGGATCGAACCAGCGACCTTCCGATTTTCCGAAGGTATATTTGAATATCTTCAGTCGAACGCGCTCCCAACTACGCCATCACCCCATTGGATGAAAGATCGAATGAAAATTGCCAACAAGAAAATGATTCATTGTCCGCTCTGTGTCAATATGCTTACTAATTTAACATCCGCACCATTCCTAATCCAGACTAGCGCGCTTCGCACTGGCAGCATAAAAGCAAATTTTCTCTCCGCCGATTTGATGTTTTTTTTCTTTTCTTCTTTGTACCAATTTACGCTCTCGATAGACAGTGCAAGGCTGCATTAGTCTTCTTCCTTTGGGGGGGAGGCTCCTATGACTCTCGTGGCATTCTGTCGCGGGGGTTGTCAGGTTAATTTTAATAGCTGAATCTTGCGATACAGAGGCGCGGAGACTACGATCGTTTTACAGCGAGGGTTCCATAAGAGCTGGCCGGGTATTTTACAGGTTATCCGGGCGGTGTCAGAGGAACCGTACATACTTTTTTTTTCTTTCTTGTTTATTTAATAATGCAATGTGATTGTTGAGAAGTCGTGGTATTCTAAACCCGTATCGTAAAAGTACATATACAGAGGGATGTCCGACAGCGTAGTAGTACAGTACATCCATAAAACATCATATCAAGAAGACAAAGAGACAACGGAACAACGCCATGATATGCTCCTGCGGCCAATTCCCAGTAATATCCTCCCAAAGAAAGCTTAGGCAATCGTCTTCACGCCCAAGGGTTCCAGTATCCGGTCCTGGGCCACCTTGTTGGCGAAATGTCCTCCTTTCTCCAGAGCAATGGCGCCAATAACCGCGTACATTGTGTGAGCCATGACGAGTTCGATTCCGGAGGCGGCGAGGTTGTTGGGCTGTACACGTTAGTTAGCAGGGAGCAACGCAAAAAGTTAAAAGGGAGGACAAACCTTCCGCGGCGACCACCTCAGAACATTCTGCATGTCGTACTTCTGCGCCAACTGCGCCAGCTTCGTCTTACCCGTGAGCAGCACCTTCGTGCTGTCGGACAGACTGTCCAGCCCCTCCAGCGCCGGATGAGCAAACAATTGTCGGCCATGGGGATCTTCCGCAACAGGACCAGCCGAGTTCGCCGGGTTCTGCACCAAAGCCAACGAGGTCTGCAACTGAACGATGCGCTTGCCTGCCGCAGAATACATATTAGCACCATGCCCGCAAAGCATCAGAGAAAGAGAATATAGCGATCACCCACCAACAAAAGCCAACCGATCATTAAATCCCCTCCGACCCTGATCATAACTCTTATGCGTAACAGCAAGCCACTTCACCTCCTCCGAAAGCACCGTCTCACCACCCTCGCCCAGCATCCGAATATAGAACTGATCCAACCGCTTCGGATCCGAGTTCACCAGATACTCGGGCCTTCGGGAATTATACCGCAGACTGAACGGCGCCTTTGCGCGGGGCGGGGTATGCGCCCATCGAGGCTTGTGTTCGGTCGTCGTTTCTGTCGATGTCGAGTATCCGCGGGTGGTGGTGGTGGTGTTGGTGGTGGTGGGTGGTGGGAGTTGTGCGGTGGAGAGGATGGCGCTGGGGCTGGTCAGGGTGCGGCATGCGGGCCTGGCTGCCCGGGTTAGGAGTGTGGAGGTCATGGCGAGAGTTGTGGAATGGGAGAACCGCGGGCAATTGAGCAATTCTGGATTGGGGGATTTTCTTGAGGCGCGGAGAGTGAAATCGAAGAATTTCGGACAAATGGCGCTAAACTGGATTTGGTTAGCGCTATCAAGGAGTACATCTTCGCATGTGGGCGTTTTCTTGTTTAGTTGGAAATATATAAACGATTTTCTACTATTATTACCACAGGGGTATATATAAATAAATTGGATCTAGTGAGTTCTGAATTACGAGGAGATTTTTCTTCTTTTCTTTTTTTTTTTTTTTTTTTTTTTTTTTTTTCCATTTTCCATGTTTGTTGATCGGATAGAGGTTCGAGCAATAGAAGTCCACTCCGAGATGAGCATACAAGGCCAGCACCCTAAGACCGATTGAATGCTATAAAATTGTCGGAGTCAGCGCCCTCACTTCGGCATATTTCTCTGACTCCGCAATAATGAAGCTCTTGATTAATTGACGACGGTGCACATCATGCGACTTCGGCTATTCGAATAGAAATATATACCGGGGAGAAACATCTCATTTGATCAAAACGCATGCCAGCACATTAGCAATGTACACCCCTCTATTACTCAAACCTCTAAGAAATTACCTAGAAGATCAACGCCTTGCAACACTATACCATACAAAACACTACACAACCAGTCACTCGCAAATAAAATAGCCCTAGAACGCATATATATATAACGTAGCACCAAGCTGACGACTGAGAGTGAGCTGAATGAAACCGAATCGTGAAGCAAGTAGCGCAGTGTATCACAACCGACCCGAGCGTCTAACCTAACCCCATGTACCGCGTACGCAGCCCGGGGAAATGCAGGTTGGACCGATGTGGCAAGCTTCTAGAACATCCAGCCTTCTAGATAGACGAATCAGGTTTGACGAGTGGCTACCTGCAGTATAGGTTAATGTCAAGATACTGTATATGAAGAGGTCTGAAGCAGGAGACTAGCGTGATAAAATACGCTGACTGTACATTTGTACAAGTATGATAATGTAGCCAGCCCACTCCAAAGCCAGGCCTGACGCTAGTAGACCTATAGACGATGGGAAAACATCAGATATCGTGTGAAAAAAATGAACTGATTGTCGAACGGACTGGAGTATTAATGGCATCTGTTCTCCTCATTACTCATTACGCCGGCAGGATAGAAATCTACGTGTTGATGTGTGTCAAGGATATCTGTGATCGTAGCAAGATTGTGTAACTGCATTTTGCATTCCAGTGGAGCGTTTTCTCTTAAGCGCTGCTGATGGGTGGGAACTGAATAGACTTGAATTCTTCTCATGATCCGGTTGGAAATATTACGTCTTCAGATAAGGCACGGTGATTGATTCTAAAAAGGAGGCCTGTCATTAGGGACTCTATTGCGAAGTAGAGCCTATCTGCTTCACATCAAATTCCGTTGAACATGAGACCTCCCATATAGTTACGCAGAATGGACGCCAATCCTGACGTGCTTCCAATCCCCCTCTATCTAATTCCTCTCGTCCCCAAATCGCCACTCAAAAGTCTTCTAGGCAAGCTACTACAAGGGCTAACAAATAATTTGGCTGTTGATTAAAGATTAACCAAGATTTACCGGTAACTCTACTTCAGTAGCGCTATATTTCTGCACGAACCCGGCAGATCGACTTCTTCACAACGCAGGTATCACCAATATCCTGCCAGGCATATCAGTACGGGCCCTTGCAGTAGATCTAGCGATTTCCCCATACTGCACTGCAGATTGCCGGTAGCATCAAGAAATTGTCGTGGCCTTGCCTGCAGTTTCGTTTCGCCGTAGGGTGTGTGCGACTCGAAGGACATTCTGGAATTATAAAGGGGCGGTTTATTCTTCTATTGGATGCCAAAGAAAGCAGACTACCTTCTTTACCTATACGTTCTAGGGCCACGAGACGAACGAGTGGCCCAACGCCAACGCAACGCCAACGCCAGTCACCCACGCATCTTGCTTGTCGTCCTCGTGAACTCCACACACCCGCCGATATTCCCTCCAATCCAACCCAATCAAACAACATGATCACCCTCATCAAGACCACACCCTATACGCCGCAGCCCCCAAACAGAGCACATCTCAACATGGGAGGCGCCCCGACACCACCAAATACACCTAGACCGTTTCCGAGCAATCCGCCCCCGAGTCCGGCTTGATTTATTCCTTTGTTCACTTTCGCTTGGAGGGTGTTGATCATGGATTTGGATGGTTGATTTTGGAGAAGTAGGTGAGTGCGTTGTTGGTATTGTGGTGGTGTTGAGTGTTAACTGTTTGAATAGGAACGATTTATAGACTCACCAGGGCGTACGATGATGGCTACCTACTATAATAATTAATGGAATATGTACCAACGATACCTAATTAGAGGTCTAATTCAGAAGTTAAATGTATGCATTCAGTAGTGTATACACGCAAGGAAAAGTTTTCCGGTCGTAGAATGAGGTATGAACTTGCAAAGAAAAAAGAAAGCGGACAATAAACCATAATTGAACCGTACAAAATATATAGCACAAGAAAACCGTTTTAAAAAAGAAAACAAGAGGTATGGATCAAATCAATCACAGAAAAGCAAGCACAAGCGTGCTCAGAACACTCAACCCCACAACCGTCCAACCAGACTTAATAACCTGCTGGTTGGTGATTCCACGACCAAGATCCCAAACCAAGTGGCGCACACCGTTCATGCAGTGGTAGACGAAGGGGAAGGCCATGAGACTCTTAAGGCCGACCTTGGCGACGATGGGAAGGGCTCCGAAGGCAGCGGCCACGGAGGCGGTCTCGAGGTGCCAGCCCAGCACGGGAGCGGCGAGGTATGCGGTCGAGTAGAGGTACAGGCCGCCGGAGAGGATGATGCCGGTGACACGGTGGGCGCTACTGCCAATCCAGGTGATTTGGGGACGGTAGATGGAGAGGTGGGGGGAGACGGGGCGGTTCTTGCGCTGCTGGGCGAGGATCTGAGTTGGGTCAGAGGTGTTGGAGGTGGCCGCTTGTCTGGTATAGTCAGTATACATCTAGTGACCCCCCTCGCCATGACGCCAATCGCATGACTTCATCGCGACATCGCGGAACCCGTTCAAACTCGAGCATCGACTGACTGACCTCTTTTGCACATTGTTTCCGAGAGCAACGGCGGCAGGGGAGACAGCGTTGGTCATGGACCAGCGCATGGCGTAGGGCTGCTGGACGGCAACTGCGACAAAAATCACGATCAGTACAGGATTCCCCACGATTCAATATCCGGAGTGCACAGAGTACATACGCCGTCGCAGCGGCTGCTGAGCGAGCTTCTGAGAGAACATGACGATATGAGATAGCACCCAAAAGAACAATCACGATCCAACAATTCGACAAGGTCGTTTCGTAGGAGAAAGTCGTCGTCGTCGTCGTCGTCAATTGCCGGATCGGAATCACGGGGACGGACAACCTCGGGTTCGTCTCCGGTCACGGGACTTGGGCGTTATTGTACAGCCGCTGACCAATCAGGGGCGAGATATTACCAGCCGGAAGATACATTTTCCAAAGATCACCGCCTACTAGTTTAGTATTATTTGTGTGTTCTCAAAACTAAATTTCCCCTCCGTCTCTCTTCCTCTTCTCTTCTTCTTCTCTCCAAGAGTCTCAGCTCACGTCGTTTTACCACACAGGAATGATGCGTATGTGCTTAGCAAAGCCTCACTGGTTTCGGCTTTCTGTCGCGACCGCAGAGGTGGTTGGAGACTCGAGAAGGAGTACGGCCCGTCGTTAATCGCCCAGTTCTTTCTGTCCATGAAAGGAAGGGGTTTCATATCAGGGTTACATATATTATCTTTTCGTATGCTCAATTGCATGATATATGCTTGTGCCTGTACATTCCGTACATAGTGAGTCTCGTAGCGACGCCTGCCAACTGGCCAGAACAACTCGGATGCGTACATAGTGCCTTGCCAGTCGAGGATACGACTACTATGCAGTTTCACGGGACTTCAATTTCAGACATGGGTGTCTATCCCCGTCAGATATCAAAGTCGCCGGCAGTCACATGCGCGGTCGTCCAGCGGTCAGGTACGCGTAGTTAAAGGAATCGACTCGATTCTCGATTCTCGGTCAATGACAGTCAACATCAATTACTTATCAGATAATACTCATCAGCAAGATCAGTAAACCATCATCTCCGTGTCCGTCTACTCTGTACACTACGGAGTACTGTAGACTGCCATAAGTTAACCGTCGGTGTTACAGGGGTATATCTAATCAGCAACGAACCTCGGCAATTTGGTCTCTCCGCACCCAAAAAGGCAAGGAGTCCGCGGTTAAGCTGTGCTTCACCTGACCATCCGGCCAACTTATCTTCTACATAACTCAGCGTATCGACGCATTCTGGTATTCTCTTTTTCACCAGAGTCATCGATTCGTCAAGATGCCATTCAATACGGCCTTGACGCGGAAACTGGGCATCACCGGTATTACTCTCTACTTCCTATCCCAAATGTTTTATCACTAATAAACATAGTTCCTGTCGTCCAGGGTGGTATGCAATGGGTTGGATACGCAGAGCTCGCCGCAGCAGTTAGCAACGCTGGCGGACTAGGAATTGTACGTATCTCGACATACAATAACTACAATGGAACGAACAACTAACACAACCCAGCTCACAGCCCTCACCCAACCCTCCTCCGAAGATCTCCGCAAAGAAATCCGCAGATGCCGCTCTATGACCAAGAACCCCTTCGGCGTAAACATAACCCTTCTTCCCGCCCTCGTGCCGCCAGACTATGCCGCCTACGCACAAGTCATCATCGACGAGGGCATCAAGATCGTCGAAACAGCAGGCAACAACCCAGGCCCCGTCATCGAGAAGCTCAAGAGAGCCAACACAACTATTCTGCACAAGTGCACGACTGTCCGACACGCCAAGTCCGCTGTGAAGCTGGGCGTTGATTTCCTGTCCATTGACGGGTTTGAATGCGCGGGTCATGTTGGTGAGAGTGATATTACGAATTTCATCTTGCTTAGTCGTGCGCGCCAGGAACTTAAGGTTCCGTTTATCGCGTCCGGTGGGTTTGCTGATGGACAGGGGCTGGCGGCTGCGTTGGCGCTGGGCGCGGAGGGTATTAATATGGGGACGAGATTCATGTGTACAGTTGAATCGCCAATCCACCAGAAGGTCAAGGAGACGATTGTGAATTCCCAGGAGACTGATACCGCGCTGGTGCTGCGCCGCTGGAGGAACACCAGCCGACTATTCAGCAACAAGGTGTCGCGGGAAGCGTTGAAGGCGGAGCAGGAGAGCAAGAGCGGGGAATTTAGCGATGTCGCTCCATTTGTCAGTGGTAAGCGTGGACGTGAGGTGTTCTTGAACGGTGATGTGGATTTTGGTGTACGTTTTCCCTGCTCTCTCAATTTGAGATGTTGCTGACCAGTACAGGTGTGGACTGCGGGTCAAGTCATGGGATTGATTCACGATATCCCGACTTGCGGCGAGCTCCTCAAGCGTATCGAGAAGGAAGCTGTGGAGGCTATGAACCGGACCCGGTCATTGTACAGTGACGCGCCGCAGAGCAAGCTGTGATCATGTTATTTGTTTTTGAGCTTTAGTTAATCCTGTGACTGATTGTATAGGAAGTATATTTCTATATCGAAGATTCGCTTTTAAGACAAGGTGTAGTTTAAAGAAGTGTTGATCAAGTAGCAGATCTGTAATCGATCAGCTGACATCTAGGCTTCAGCTTCGCATCTAGACCACATAAAACAATACAAACACATCCTCAAGCAGAAAAACCAAACCACACCATGCCATCTACATCAAACCCCTACATAATCTTCACAAAAACCGCCAAACACCAAATAAAACTGCTCTCCCAAAACCAATGCTGGGCCTGCACCGGTACATCCCCAGATATTTCCCTTGTGGTAGACTGGGACTATCAAAACGTACGTACGCCCTTGCCCTTGCCCATAAATAAAACAAAGTGAGACGGTACTGATAAATCAAGCTTAACCACCTCACCCAAAGAGGCCTCCTAAACTACAACCCTTATTCTCCTGATAATGGAATCGCGCTATGCGGCACCTGCAAAGTAAACTTCATCCCAAATAACAACGACCCCGGCTGGATCTTCACTCCCTCCGATCTAGAATACTTCATCGAGTATGAAGAAAAAGACTACCACTCCCGCACACAAGCAGCAAAACACGACATCCTCGCACCCCGAACCTGCCCCTCAACAAACGACTACCGCGCTCACCAAACTTCCCAGGGCATTATCAACGAAAACGAAGTCGGCGGTTTGTATCGAAAAATTTGGCGGAGGGATTTCCAGCCTATGATTTGTGAAAGTGTGGTTGAGGAATTGGTTGTTTGGCATGGGGCGCCGATGGCGGCGGTTACGAGGGCTTTTGGGGTGTTTGGGTTGGAGAGTGAGAGGGTTCCTGGGGATGTGCTGGATGGGTTGAGGAGGTTGAAGGAGTTATATGCGAGGCCGGCGCCGAGTTTTCGCAGGATAGGAGTGTATAGGGGATGGGATCGGTGGATGGTGGGAGTGGGGTTTGTTAAGGATATTGCTGCACTTGAGGGTAATTGTGATGATTTAGATTTTTTTGAGACTACGCATTTTTTCTTTTTTAGCAAGGTTCAATTGAAGCATATTAGAGAACGTAATGGAACCTGGAATTACTGATGTCCTCTGATGCTTTGAGAAAAGTACATAATCACCATTCCAGCGAGGGATCAATAGACTTAGCTTCCATCGACGACCCTCCCGTACGTGCGTCCACCTCACACAAACTATCAAACACACCCTTCCCAAACTTCTTATAAGCCTCCGCCAGACCCTTGTTCTGCAGCATTTTAATTTCTAGATTATCGAGCTCGAAGCTCCACTTCTGTTCTCCGATGGTGATTTCCCGGGAGTAGACGTCAATTATGATCTCGGTGCCATCCGTTGCACTCTCGTAGAACGCATCATCCTGTATCGTAATCCCTAGAAGCCCTAGGGTAGGCTGATTGCGGCCGTATATGAAGGCGAAGGACTTGGCGATTACGCATTTTACTCCGAGGCCTATCACACATTCAACTTGTTAACAAAAGCAAAAAAAAAAAAAAAAAGTAGGAAGGGAGGAAAACAAGAACATACCAATAAGAGCCCTAGGCGCCTCCTCACGAGACGACCCACATCCAAAGCTCTCACCTGCCACGATGACTTGGCGACCTGCTTTGACGGAACTTCGGAACGCAGGGAACGTGTGTTCCATGCAGTGCTGGCCTAGGGCTTCGTCTGTTTCGCATTCGACGAGGTATTCGGCTGGTGCTAGCTGATTGCTCTTCTCAGTACCCGGATATTATTAAAAGGTAAGAGTATACTCACTGCGTCAGTGTCGATAAAATCCCCGAGGGTTTGGATTTTGCTCGAGATTATCCATGTGTGATTACCAGGCGTCTGCTGGTCCACGCCAAAATCTGCTTTTACGGACTGCTGACTGGGTTGCGGCCTCGGAACGCTGGGCTCGACATATACAACCGTGTCAGTCTGTCTTGAAACGGTATTTTTCCGCGTTAAGGCTTTATATAAGCTTCTGTCCACTTTCACGAGAAAAGGCGATGGGTCGACTAGTGACATTGAGAAATTCGATGCTGCAACAACAGCTGCGGAGCTGAGGTTGCCAAACGATCCTAAATGGCAGTGTTAGTACTCATATCCAGAAGTAGTCAACGTAACCTACCCCTGCCCATCCGATTTTTAAAATTCCGATTCTGTGACGAAAGCCACGTCTCCCCCACACCCGCCTGATCAGCCCCCATTCCAACACAAAAACTGCATCCCGGAGCAGACTCCCAAAACCCAGCATCCTGATAAATCTCCGTGATACCCAATTCCCGCAACCGTTTAGCTATTGGAAGGGAGCCAAACACTACATGCCTCTTTCCCTTTTTCAATGGTAGGCTTTGCTGTAATCCGACTTGTAGGACAAGTCCGCCTAGGATCAGGTCTTCTTCGGTTGTGGTGCAGGCTCCGATGAAGACGCCGTCGAAGGCTATTGGGGAACAGTCTTTGACTGGGATGATGTTATCGGGGGAGGGGTAGAGGGCGATGTAGGGTTGGACGTGTGTGAGGTTGATGGTGAAGGTTTCTGCGTATTGGGCGTTGTCGTCGGGGTGGAAATATAGTGGTGAGGACTTGTAGACGGTTCGTTTTCGACGGTTGATATAGTTTTGCACGACTGGGTCTGGTATGAAGACTCCTGTTATAGCGCCGAATTCCTAGTCATATCAGCAGAGCTTCTGAAAACAAGTGGATAGACATACCGTGCACATATTACAAATAGAAAACCGATCATCACACGAAAGATACTTCACACCCGGCCCCCCAAACTCCACAATCCTATCCGCAGCAACAGTATTCCGCTTCAACTGTCCGAGTATATGAAGAATAACATCCTTCCCTCCAATACCAAACCCTGGCTTCCCTACTATATCAATCCTGATCGACTCTGGAATCTTGAACCATGAAGCTCCAGTAAGCAGTGACATTGCTACATCTGCAGCCCCTAGTCCGATTCCAAGGCAACCCACGGCCCCGGAAGAGCAGGTGTGTGAGTCGGAGCCGACTAGGAGCATTCCGGGTTGGGCTCTTTCCCGAACGAATTCAGTGTGGAGGATGGTGTACTAATCAACCGAGATATTAGTTTAGTCATACAACTGAGCAACGCAAGACATACATTCTTTCCCTTATAATCCGTCAATTTAAAATCCCTCTGCGCTTTCTCTGACTTATCAACCAGTGCCTTAACCTTCGGAAGATGTTCAATTCTTGGATCGACGATGTGATCTGCGGCTAACCAGAACCGGTCGTTACGCCAGATCTGCGTGGCACCGACTTCGTTGATTGTTTTCATCATGCCCTAGTAGCATTATCAGTGTAACGAAGCAAGTCATTCTTCGAGAATTGCCAGACCTTCCAAGATACCTCCGACGCAAGAACCCAATCCACAGACACCGGTACCACATCCCCAGCCTTGAGCCCAGCGTGCCTGTTTCCCGGAAGCATATGGTGCATAAAAATCTTCTCCGAAAGTGTCATAGGCCGGCGCTTCTCAGCAGTACTCAACTCTATACCAGAAACCTGCTCATGGGTACTAGCGTATAGCCACGAATCAACCAGAGACAGTACTTTCTCACAATAGGCGTCTGTAAGCGGACGTGTAGGACTGAGACCTTGGCCTCCGAGCTCGCGGTCTTCGGTGCAGAGGTAGAGTACGTGGTCTAGGGCGTCGGAGAGTTTGGATTGTCCGATTTCTGAGAGCATATTGGTTATGGTTTGTAGGCCTGAGAGTGGGTTGGTGGTTGTTGATAGGTTGATGAGATCTGGGATATGGGTTGTTGTCAGTAGGATGAAGTGGTATCGAGGGTAGGAGATTCATCACCATTATCTGTAGAGGCTTCATGGCTGCTTTTGTTTATACTGTCGACGACAGAAAAGCCTGGACCAGAATACCGCGTGATGAGTTCAAGACATTGACGGAGGAGACTTGCGTCGTTCTCGCTCAGATGATGGCCGAAGAGCACCTTCAATGACAACGGGTTTGATGTTTTGGTTTCCATGGCTAAATAGAGAGCAACCGAGAGAATCGAGGCTGGATGGCTGATGGAAGGTAGGTTGATTCACTCTGTCTCCATACCAAGAGATAGAGCAAATAATTCCCCGAGGATTGTGGTAAGGATGGAAGGTTGCGAGTCTCGCAAACGGGCAGTTATTGACCTCGAGTAACCGTCACATGATATCCATGTGAATCTACAAGAAATTACACATAAAACAGTTGTCAAAGGTTAAAACAAACCGACATAGGTATATATATTAATTAAACTATCTAACTCCAATAGAACTACCAGATATTAGGGATTATGTAGTAGTAGAGTATACCTTAGATAAACCATTTTTCCACCAAACTCGAACTCCGTGATATCAAATGTAACATATTGCAAAACACACATAGTTAACGAAAAAGGGATTCTGAAAGCCAACAAGAGAATATGTGTTCCCGGCCGGCATAATTTGACACCCCATACTTTACTCCATCTCTTCCTCTTCCTTGGTCGCAGCAAGATAGTACCGCCCCTTTGGCTCTCCCTCTCTGTCGTACTCGATTGTAAGACGCGACAGATGAGCGAGCAAGTTCTCAATCCAGAGATCACCCTTGTCGCGCTTTTTCCGGCCCAAGTCATCAAGCCACTTGAACTTGTTTAGCATGAAGTACACCAATGCGATGACGATTTCCACGCCGAGCGAGTAGCCCCAGACACGGACGACAGTGACGATATCAGTCCATCCGTTTCGGGTCTCGACGAATGACGTTGGCGGGTTGGTAGGCATGTCTTCGTTACTGAACCAACCGAACAGACAGAAGATGGTGGCCAGCGCGTCGACGCCCAGGATGGCGGTGATGAGGTGGATTGACGGCCATGTGTCTGCTCCTCGTGTGACGAAAATCAGCCAGTTCTCTGTGAGCGCGACTTCGAGGAAGAGGACTTCTTGGATGGAACCCCAGTTTTGGATGATACCGCCGTTGGGTAGGAACATGGTACCACGGACCACCCATGTTCCCAGTGCGAGCAGGATACCGAGGAGGACGGAGATGAACCAGATCTTTGGAAGTTGCCATTGGACGGGTCGCAGTTCGAACGATGCATGGTCATAGGCCACTGCAACAGTCGCAAGGTCGGCGAAGAGGGCCAGGAAGACGATCAGCTCGACACGGATGTTTTCATTCAAGATAATCATGGACGTGACCAGGTAGATCTCCAAATGCAAGCAAAGGGCAATTCGGTACTGGATATAGGCTTTCATGCGGTGGAAAATTTGTCGGGCGACCTTGATCGAGTCAATGATAGTCGACAATCCAGGTTCCAAGAAGACAATATCCGAAGCAGACTGAGCTGCCTCAGAAGCTCCTTCCACTGCAATACCGCAATCAGCTTTCTTCAACGACGGCGCATCATTAACACCATCTCCGGTCATTGCAGTCAAATGGCCACGTTCCTGGAGCATTCCGACCACCTGATATTTATGCTCAGGGAAAACTTCGGCAAAGCCATCTGCCTTTTCGACCAGATCACCTGCCATGGCACCACTGAGACCTCCATGGATCAGCTTATCCGAATTATACACTTTAGTCCCGAGCGCCAGCATCTTGCAAGTTTCCTTGGCAATAGCAAGAGCATCACCAGTAAGCATCTTCACACTGATACCCAGGTTCTGAGCTTCGTGGATCGTCTGCGCCGTATCCTCGCGAGGCGGATCAAACATCGGAAGCATACCGAGAAGAGTCCACTCTTCGCCTTCTCTCTGAACTGCGACACCCAGAGAACGGAAGCCACGACGCGCAAATTCAGTAGACATTTTCTTGTAGGCGCTTGCTGTTTCAGGGGAGCAGTTTGTTAGCTGCAAAACCGCCTTTGGAGCGCCCTTGGTGCATGTATATCTGACTCCGTCACATGTGGCGATGGTCACGATACGCTTGGAGACCGGGTCGAATGGGGTGAACTTTTCTGTTTGCCATCCCCTGCGGAGGATTTCCCTGGCTCCTGGATAGCGTCGCAGTGTAAGGATAGTGACCTTGTCGATGGGATCGAGCGATTCAATGTTATGCGAGGATGCCAGAGCAGCCACAGCAAACATCCAGTTGACATCAACACCCTCGGACACATATGGGTCGCGAATGCTCAACTTGTTTGCCGTAAGTGTACCGGTCTTGTCGGAGCACAGGATATCGACACCCTATTATTGCGTTAGTCTCGTCCAGTGTCCAATTGATATAGTGACATACCGCTAAAGACTCAATCGCAGTAAGCTTCTGCACGATAGCTTTCTTCTTAGCCAGATAAGCTGCTCCGACAGCCATGGTGGTAGTTGTCACGACAGGCAAACCGACAGGAACACCGACAATCAGCAAAGCCAAAGTGTAGTGTAGGAGCGTCTGCTGACGAGGCGAAGCAATCGGAAGACCACGGAAGAAACCACCAATCCACGCAGCGAGAATCCAGGCCATAACCAGAATCAAAAGAGAAGTACCGATGTTGTCCATGACAAGTTCAAAATGGCCAGCACCCTGAGCCGATTGGACCATAGTGGCTGTACGCCCGACGAAGGAGTATCTCGCAGTAGTTTGGACAACTGCATAAGCCTTGCCGCGCTTGCAACCAGTCGTGTAGAAAACAGTCTCTCCCATATAACGATCAACAGCAAGAGACTCTCCGGTGATGGCAGAATGGTCGCAAGCCAGAATGGGGTAGCCTCGCTTCTTGGCCTTCTGTTGCTCCTGTTCTTTCTTTTCTTCATCTCCATCGCCCTCTTTGACCTCTTTGTTTTCTTCCTCCTCGGAGCCAGAGCTGCTTTCTTCGAGTTCGCCACGTTCTTGCAGCGCGCGGAATTCTTCCCAGCCATTGGAGTCCTTGTAGTCGCAAATAACCTTGGAGTCTGCGGGTACAACTTGACCTTCACCGATAACAATCTATCATTGTGTCAGCACCGAGAAGAACGGCACCCTTTCTGGGGTTGCTACATACCACATCACCAGGCACGAGCTCTCGAGCAAGAATTTCCTGTTCATTGCCGTCACGGATAACCAACGAACGCATGGCAATATCTCCCTTAAGACTGGCAACGACGTCTGCAGCTTGCTTCTCTTGGTACCAACCAACAGCAGCGTTCAGACACAGGATACCGATAATCACACCAAAATCAACCCAGTCTTCCAAACCACCAGCAAGTAGAACGGCCAATTCCATGACTGGAAAACAAGTTAGAGACAGTCCAAATGGAATGGCTAGTAGAATGTGATGATTTACCGTAAAGAATAGGACCTCTGAAGTAGGACAGAATCTGAGCAATCGGATTCGGCTTCTCAGAAGTCAACTCGTTCCATCCCGATCGCCGACGTCGATTCGGGGCTTCACTACTAGGCAAACCCTCCCGAATATCCGTAATACGCCACTCATCAGGAAACTGGCCCGCATTATCACCCGTCTTCCTGACAAGCACCTTTCGCGTCTTCCAAGGAGCGTACCAAAGCCTTTTTTCTATTTCCTCCTCGTCGGGCGCGTGTCCGTCTCCTTCACCCGCCTCGCGGTAGGTCGAGACGTACTTGACAAGCTTGCCATACTCGTCGAGTTGGCCCCAGTCCTCCTTGATGGATGCTCGGGAGATACGTCTCGAGGGAGCTTCGGAGACCCGTCTGGGGGCGTCTCCGCGCTCGACGTCACCGCCGGAGCTGCCTTGCTGGGCCATCCTTGTCTCTTTTCAATCACTTGCCGCGGCAACACGATAGTTCAAACTGGCTGCCTCGCTCAATACACTCTGCTGCACTGCACTGCACTGCACTGCACTCTCCGCCAGACACACTCTGACGACAAAATGGGCGGGAAAGGATTAAGCAAAGAGAGAGGAGAAAAAGGGAAAAAGAAAGAAGAGAAAGTCAGAAACGATCGTTGGGTGGAAAAGACTTTCCTTACGATATTATGACCACCCAGTGGGAAAACAGGAACAGAAAGTTGCTGTCTCGCTATTAGAAGTTACAGGGCAACGACCCTGAAGTCAATCGTTACCCGGAGCCAATGCGTTCCATCCTATCAGACTATCATGCTGACGTTGAGACTAGAAAGCTACCGGCAAGGCTGGGTATACAAAAGAAAAACAAGTTGCTTGGTGCGCATATCGCTGCGTTTCTTGTGCTTCCCGGGACTCCGGGAAGTCAGTGACTCTCGTCGAGCTCTACAGTGTCATGACGTAGAATAGGCTGATGGGCCATTTAATGGCCTTGCATGAACCGTCATCCTCCTTTCTCATTCTTCCAGTCGTTCCGGAGATATCCATACTGGTCCAATTGACTTTGTAAGACCCGCGGTATGGATATGTCTACCATCGGCAGGATACCCGAAAGAAACCGTGGACAAGCTGACAGGAGACGACGAACGAGGAGAAGCAAGTCATGTAACGCCAGACGTGGTTCAGTGCGAGGAATTGGTGGTTGCAGGTGTCATTGGCATGCTGGGATTAGAGTGTGGTCCGTGGGACGTTGGCGTTGAGCGGGCCGGGAGATCCGGGCCTCCGCGGTCACGGGACCACATCGGAAGATACAACCGCCCTTCAACTGCTCCTAAGTGGTTGTCAAGAGGATTCTTAATGAATTGTGGCCCCGAATTGGTTCCTCACTCTGAGGCTGTCTCGTAATCGATTGCCGTGGAAGTATAAAAACGGAGGGTTGCTTCGACTCTGACCAGTTTCCCTTTCCGGACAGCCCATAACGGCCGTCGACCACCCGTAGACGTCATGAATGTGATGTTGAAGAGGCTTAAAACATCTCGTCATGATAGAATTATGAAGTTTTGGAACTAGTCTCCGCCGTGATCCGGAAGTGTCGGAACCCTTGCTACATGTATATTTCGCCGGAGCAGACAGATTCAAGCATGGATAACGGCATCTGATCGGTTGCGAGATTCAATATCCCTACTAAAAAGCCCAAATTAATGTAATCTTGAACTGATATGATACCAAACCATGAATATATATTTTCTACATACGGAGTGAGATATCTTGTTCTGACGTTCGTATATCCTCATCAATCATCGGTAGCATCCGCTCATTAACTAATTTATTTTCCAGTCTTGCCGGTAGGGATGTTGAACAGAACAGCCGGCTTGCCCGGCGAGTACGCCTGGTCAACACGGTAGTAGCCCTTGCGGTCGAACTGGATAATGTCACCCTCCTTCAGCTCAGCGACATTGCAGTCAGCAACGGCGTCGTCGCGGAACTCGGTCTTGGGGTTCAGGACATCCTCCAGCTTGTCCTCCTCCTGCATAGCGTCCTTGTTGAGAAGGTAGTCAAAGTCAACCAATTCGATAGGGACCAGTTCCTGACCCTCAGTGGACAACCAAGTAACCTTCTTTTCGGTCTTCTTGACATCACCCTCCAGGTGGAGCTCGAGCTCAAGTCCGGTGACAAGACCAGAAGCAGAGTCGGTCTCAATCTTGCGCACGAAGGCGTTACCCCAGTTCATGACCGTGATCTCCTCATCCTGTTTGAAGGTCTTGGCGTCTTCCTGCTCGAAGAGGATCGAGTTGCTGAAGACAACCTTCTTGGTACCAACAGCAGCGTTCTTGGCGTGCTTCTGCTTCTCCTCAATGAATGGAGCATCAGGGGCACCCTTGACAATAGCCTTGACGGCATCCTTCTTCAGGATAGCAGTGTGGCGCGGTGCAACCGGGTCGATGTACTTCTTGTTGGTAGCCCAGAAGAGAGTCCAGTCAAGGTTGATGATGTTCTTGCTGGGTCCCTGTCTCAGGATGAACTCCCTAAGAGCCGGAACGGTCATACCGCGTCTGCGAATACCACGGATAGTGGGGAAACGAGGGTCATCCCATCCCCAAACGACGCCATGGTCGACAAGCTTGGTGAGCTTTCTCTTAGAGAGCAATGTCCGGACGAAGTTCATGCGAGCAAAGTCCCAGATATGAACGGTACGGAGCTTAAGAGCATCGATCATCCATTGGTATTGAGGGTTTCTGTCACGATACTCAATAGTTCTCAGAGCATGCGTAACTCCCTCAAGAGAGTCCACAATGGGACAGGCGAAGTCGTAGGTGGGGTAGATCTTCCACTTAGGACCAGTGCGGTGATGCTCCGCAGGGTTGCAGCGGTAAATGACAGGATCACGCATGGCCTTGTTAGGGTTGTCAACGGACATCTTGGCACGAATACACCACTTGACGCCGTCGGGAGTGCCGTTCTTCATGTCCTCGAAGCGAGCAAGGTTCTCTTCAACCGAGGCATCACGACGCTTACTGGGCAGACCGTCAAATCTCTGGGCGGCCATTGTCTCCTTATCAGTATCGTCGGCATATGCGTTTCCTTCTCGGATAATCTGAAGAGCGTATTGGTATAGCTCATCAAAGTAGTCACTGGTGTAGCTCATCTTGTCGGGCTTAATACCCATGAGCGAAAGGTCCTCAATGATGGCATCCTGGAACTCCAACTTCTCGTTGGAGGGGTTGGTGTCATCGAAACGGACAAGGAGGGTTCCGGCGTACTTCTCGTGGGCAAAGTAGTCGTTGAGAAGGGCGGCCTTCGCGTGACCGATGTGGAGATATCCAGAAGGCTCAGGAGGGAAACGGGTCACAACTCCCTTGTCGGTGTTCAGGAGGCCAACGTCGTAGTTAGCGCCCTGGCTGCTCTTGCCCTTCTTCTCCTTGGCTGCCCCGGTCAAGCCTTCAAGGGCCGAGCTGGCCCAGGGGCAAAGCTCCTCCAAAAAGCGGAACCACCGAGTCAGATTCACGAGCGTTCCCTTCTTGACAGCAGAAATAGCGACCCGGTTTCCTCGGACGGCACCCCAGAGCGCAATGTCAGCAGTAGAGAGCGCGTAGCCGACGACAAAAGATCGAAGCATGAGATAAGCATCGAGTTTCTGGAGCAGAGGTTCGACGGCCTTGAAGTCAAGGACGGTAAACGAGACGAGCTGAGAGAGCCATTGGTTCTCCTATCGTACAGAAGAGAGTCAGAAAAACGCGCTGTATAGACTGGGGGAAGCGTGACTCACGGTTTTCTCATCCTTGCTGTTGAGGAACGGGAAATTGGCACGCAGCTCCTGGATGGCCTTCTCAGTACCATAGACCGGAGAGCCACTGGCACCAGTGAACTGCACAATGGCCTTTTCGCCCTCGTGCAGAAGAGCAGTGTTCTCGTAGTTGATCGCAATCACCGGGGTTGGGCGTGCGGCGTTGACGGAGGTAGCAACGAGAAGCACCGGAAGCAACTCGGCCTGATTGGCCTGCGAGGCCAAAGTAAGCCGACAAGACATCCTGACGACGAAATCCGCACAGGACAAATGAAGAATGAATAGAAGTCTTGTCGTCGCGGGGAAGAAGAGAAAAAGTTGGAGGGGCAATGGCATAGGGTGGTTCCGCCGGCGTTATGTTTATCCGACCCAGGTCCGAGAGAGATGCTTCGGAGCAGAAAACATTCCCCGTCGCCAAAAAGAGCCCGAACGCTGTGTCGCAATCTCAGCACCATGTCTTCGTACGGTTCTGCCTTGCCCTCCGCGGCAAGGAGTATTTTGTCGTCATGTCGACCTGCAGTTCGCCAGAGTCCAATGGCTCCATTCCTCTCGACCTTTTACCAACAGCAACTTCGTGGAGCCAAGAGCAATAACCCCCAAGCGCAGGGCAAGGGCAAGAAGGCAGCGAAGGCGAAGCCGAAGAAGGGTGCCAGGGAGTTTATGCAGAGGGATTTGAAGGATATGCAGCAGTTCTCTCTTTGCGATGCCATGAGGTATGGAATTATTGTGGATTACCGGCTCCGGATTGTCGACGGAGACTGACTTTACCAGGTATATCCGTGCGATGGAAGTCGGTCGTGAGCCCACCGTCTCGAAATACGAAATCCACATCCGGTTAAAGACGAAGAAGGACGGTCCGGTCATCCGTAACATGCTCCGATTCCCACACTCCGTCCAGACCGAATCCCGCATCTGTGTCGTTTGCCCGTCAGGCACAAAGCACGAGAAGGATGCTCGCGCAGCAGGAGCAGTCCTTGTCGGAGAAGAGGAGGTTTTCGACGCCGTGAAGAACGGTAAAATCGAGTTCGACCGCCTCATCTGCCACCCCGACAGTTTGGCTGCGTTGAATAAGGCCGGGTTGGGTCGTGTCCTTGGTCCTCGGGGGTTGATGCCTAGTGCGAAGACGGGTACTGTGGTTGAAGATGTGGCATCGCGAGTCGAGATGTTGCGGGGCGGTACGATCTACAGAGAAAGAGATGCCGTGATCCGGATACCCATTGGTCAGCTGGCGTTCTCCCCGGAACAGTTGCGTGACAACCTGCGGGCAACCATTGACCAGGTCAAGAAGGATGCGTCTGGGCTTAACGACCGCATTGTTAAGGAGATCTATGAAGTGGTGAGTTGTCTTCAGAGTTGAATCACATGGCATGTCTAACATTTATTAGGTGCTGAGCTCGACGCACGGTGCTGGCTTCAGCTTGAATGGCGAGTTCAAGTCGGATGACTCGCCAGATGCCACGGCTTTGCGTGGTGTGTAAAATAGTCTTTCATGTCTGACAATTTCATGCGTGTACAAATTATGTTATTTTAGGAAAGGGAACGGTGTATCACGGTAATGAGTTTTTGCGATATATACCTGTCTACGGACGAGACATGAAAATGAAAAGAAGTTAGAACCCAAACGCCACCGCTATGCAAGGAACCCGGATCATGGCGCAGTCTATAACTTGAGATTCTTCAGCGCAGTTATTGCACTGGGATCCTCACCCATCAACTTGTAGAGACTGAGAACCGATAACATCTTCGCATCACGTTTCTCGCCGGCATTCTTAGCCTGTTCAAGAGCCATCTTAAGGTCGTGAAGCACAGCGGATCGGATCTTGTTTACCCGCGGCTGTTGGTTGAGTAGAAATGGGTGATCATCCCCAATGCGCGCAGATAGCCGTGTGACGGCGACGTATTTCTGGATGTGATTCTCGAGTCGCTTCAGCGAGACAGAAGCCGCGGTGCCCTGGGGAGCCTGCCCATCATCACTCTCACTCTCATCACTTTCCTCCAGGAAACCATCCGACTCCTCATCCGACTGTTCGCGCTGGCCCTGATTATTCTTCTCCCCAATCATCAACCGCTGCTCCAGCTCCTCAATCCTCTCCGCAACATCCAACAACGCCTGCCCAACATTCGCATCCTTCCCCAACTGTTTCTTCTCCCCCAATAATCCCTCCACCTCAGCCCGTCGAGCCTCAACCTTATCCCTGATCGCATTCACATCCCGCTGAAACGCCAACAGCCCGACGCGAACTTCCTCGGCTTTTTCCTCACCACCGTGTAATGCGTTCCCGAGCGATAAGAAATCCTGGTAATTCTCGTTGACGAGATCGAGCAATTCCCTGCTGAGCAATTGGTCTAGGTCGCGCAGTTCCTGGCGCAGGTCTTCGAGGCTTTGGTGGCGGTTTCGGAGGGAGGAGAGGTATTGCGCCGGGTCGAAGTCGGGGGTTAGGAAGGAGGCGCGCGAGAGGGGTTCTGGGAATGGGAGGGTGGAGGTGTCTTCATCGAAGTCGGAGGAACCGTCGGAGTCGGGGAACTGCATGTAGTTAGTATTGGGTTAAGGAGTGAGTATATAGGTAGAATAATGAATTCGTACAGGAGGTTTATCCACCATTTTGGTTCTGTTGATGTCTTGCGATTGGCATAGTTAGCGTAAGGGAGGCGGCCGGAGTCAGATGCGGATAAGTTGGCGTTGGTGCCTGAGGTGTCTTCAGCATCAAGCCCGAAGTAGGGCATGGATTTAAGATACTGTTTGGCAGCGCAAAACGACAGTAATATCCCAGCAAGGCATATTTAGCATGCGATAACGCTTTAGATGGAGTTAGCTCAGTATAGAGTGGATAATCACTAACCCAGAGTCCGTTCTCACCACATCCTCTGTTACTATGCACAGGTTAGATCACAGGATTTGCCCTGCAGTCCGGCGAGCCCGCAGCACTTTCTCGCGTTTGGGAGAGTGATGAATATAAACCCAAAGTTGGCGTGCTGTCAAAGACTGCTTCCTGGAAGTTACAGCAATAATATGCACATTCACCCTCGTGGGACAGCCCACTCCACCTGAGACCGCTTGACTGCATACTGAGGACAATTTACTGTATGACGCACCATGTCAAGTATACAATAACAGCCAGTGAAAAAATTGCATTGAGAGCTGACCAGCTACATATTGCCGTCTGTCGCCGGATTGTATCCCAGCTTGTAGCCGGTATTCTCTTCTGTACCGTTTAGTCGTTCATAGCATACCATTTCCTGCTCAGCACGAATATCGCGTATCAGTCGTCATGTCGTCAAGCGCTTCATCGGTTCTCAGTTATGCATCACCTGAAACAACAGCCACTACCCCTCCAAGTAGCGGCTCAAGTTTCAAGCCCCGAAAGCTCCGAACTCATGGGTCTAGCGCCCTGGACTCAGGCTTAGGCTCCTCTATCGTTTCTCGCGGTGGAGGTTGAAGCTAGGAGTCGTGGGATGCACCAGGTGGTGCCTTAATAAATGAGGATTACCGCGTAGGTGGTCCGTTACTATGCGCAGTTCCCGTGCTTAAGGTCGAACTCTCCCCAACCAGCTCAGAGCTGTCGTGACTGAGACGCCCTCATTGCTCCAAGATATCCGAAGTGCATTAGGTCATTTTGCAATCGTGGATGCTGAAGTGACTATATGCAATCGTCTTTCCAAGTACTGGCCGGAAGAAGTCGCCATTCCAACTGTGCTTGTGATAGCAGCGCGCAACCAGGTGGACAAGTGACTGATTGCAGCGCAAACTATGTACGGGGTACTATTGAATAGAGGATTTCGTAATGTACAGGTCGAAATGGCGGATCCCAGGGGCCTTCAGCCTGCGTCATGCTCACCTGTTTATGAGGCGGACAAAATTTATCCCAATTGGATGCAAATATGCGAGAAGATCATTTGCTCATCAGACTTGACTGACTGGATTGCTGTTGAATGTTCCAGATATGGCGGCGACATAGCGGCGGTACCGCCGCTGTGTTTTGAACGGTTTCCACTTTTGCCGATGCAGAGTGTTCTCTTCAATGGCACCAAAACACACCTCCTTTTTTGACAGCAGAAAATGAAGGAGCCAAATATTGATAGGGTAGAGTACATGTGCGTCCTAGCACAAGAAAACATAAGTTGAGACAAGAAAGTATGTCTCAGAGCAGAAGAGCATTGTGTTGTGGCAAGGCATTGTTCCTAACAATCAGAAGTGTCCTATAGCAAAAACCTTTTGTTTCAGGACTCCCTGTACAAGAAAGTATGCAGAGTGACAAGAAAGTGTGCCGTTGTACTAGAAAAAAAATCTTATAATTTCCAGACTTAATATTGCACACACAATTTTAAATGTAGTTCCCAAACGCCATGGTTTCAGCTTCTGTTCGAGTATACAGATACCGCCTTAATAACAGGTCTCCTAGTCTTCTCCCGATCAAAAACCTGTGCATGATCCAAATGTTCATACCACAATACTTCGAGCCCAGAACCCACCCACGGCTTCCTTTTCCATGCATTTTGCGTCTCTCTGGTTTCACTACCAGTAGATGCTGCCTCTTTGCTCGCTGTCAGAGTTCCTTCTGATGAAGAACTCATGAGGTATTGTCCCACCGCTTCAGCATCCACGATCAAATCCTTGCCACCTAAAACAACCGTAACATTCCTTCCTCCTTGATTGTTGTTTTCGTTCAGCCCAAGGTCCTCTTTCCAGATTATATTCTCATTCCAGGAGAACCTCCTCGCCAACGTATGCGCAACACCTATATCCTTACTTGCGAAATACCATATCTGGTACTCATTTGCCCGCACTGGCTGACGGGCCGTAAAGTTGTATGCAACATCAGGCAGATGGAGGAGGAATGAGATTGGGTCAATGAAGACGGCAGGGCCAACGTACAAAGTGGCGAGAACAGATTTAAGGAGGTGCGTGGCAATTATGGAACCATAAGAATGAGAGACAAGGACGAATTTGGTCCAGCCGTGGTGCTTGATAATCTTCACGATTTCCTGGGTCATAACATCTTTATCTAGTGCTGAGTGAGTTATGCGAGAGCTCACTGGCATGATCTCAAGTGCGATAATCCCAACCTCGTCATTGTCATCTCTGTCATTCGCCAATTCTTTGGCAAGCTCTCGCAGGAAATTTGTATAGGGGTAGAGTCCAACACCAATTCCATGTATGAACAGCACAGGTAGCCTTATTTTGGATTTATGCTGTCGGTGCCAGTATGTGAGATGCTTGACCGGTGACCGGTGAGCTGAGAATAACGTGAGAGGACGGAAGGGAAATAGGGTAAAAAAGCACAGGAGAGAGGTGCGATGGAAATGGAACCCATTATATAACATCGAGCAATACATCCAAGCGTCGACCAGAGACACGCACTATGGGGAAAGGCAAAACGTAGTGAGCATCTCATAGTTTTCAAAATGACCAAAAGGGAGGTGAACATACAGTGTACCACAATAGACTACGATGCAAACCATCAACCTCATTCAGCATTGGTCCCAAACCCTTCACATTGCTCTTTCCTGATGGCAGCTCCCTTCCAAGCAATTTCTCCATATCTCTCGTGTAGGCTTCAACCTCAGGCTCATGTTCTTGTACCTGCCCAGGATGAAAGAACGCCCATTTAATAAAATCTTTGACATTTTCGCGCTTTATGTGGTCGTTCTTTGTGACCATAAGCCAGCGACTGAAGTATTTCTTGGGATCCCCTAAATTGCTCTTGCAGTACCTAAATAGCCTCTCTCTTTGCTCTTGTGACATTGGTTCATGATAGATCGCAGAGTGTTGGAGGCTGTATCTGAGTGGTAGGAAGACCCCAGTAAAAAATACTGCCTCTGCCGCAAGCCAGACTTCGATAGGGAAGGGAATGCGATAGCATTGAATAGATTGGGGTAGAAATGGGCGAAGTAGCAGCCAAATAGTGAACAAGGCACTAGTGGGGGCAATATTGTGTAGGAATAGGATGCAGGCACGAATAAACATATACTCGGCGAGAGATGTTCCGATCATCGTAGTCTTGAAATGTATCTTCTTTTGTTTTTCGATCAGTCGGCTTTACTGCAGAGTCAGTCAACTGTGGAATTCATGGGGGTTTTATATAAGTCAAAAAAAATGGTTTCCAGGTATTCCCCATAATTCCCCCGCGGCGTTTTTTTTTTTTTTTTTTTTTTTTTTTTCAACTGGAGGTGTTTTCAACTGGAGGTGGAATTATACCGATGTCATATACTCTCTCCAGCCACTCACTCAAAAAATGTTGATAGTAGGGCAGTAATGTGCCCCTCTCCCAAGCCACACCAAATTTTATCGAGCGGACGCGTCGCTCTGTACGATCTATTCTATCGTACGAGTCATAAATATCCCGTCCTTCTTATACCTGGCCGGATTAATGTCATTCGAGTTCCATAAATATGACATGGGCCTATGGTAATCGGAAGGGCTCCATCTGCAGGGTATCGATTTGCGTGACAATCAATCACTGTAGAGGAGTTCACCGCTGAGGCCCAACTTCTTCCTGTACTTGGCGATTAGACTGTTGGGGTCGAAAGTTGAGAGCCTGAGATCGTTGTATGGATTTATCCAACTGATTTACTGAGTTCGTCAATCTGATTGATAGGCAAGAACAGTTCAAAAAACAATCTACTGGTCAAACTGCATATTGTTTGGAACAATCATTTTCATCCATGTCCCCTGGAGTCAGGCATTCTGCATTGGAGCTCCCAAAACTACGGGCTATAACCTAGCATGGAGAGTGAATGGTTTTGACTGTTGGAAGGTTGATTCGTTTTGGGGATGGGGATGGGGCTGTCATTTGCTTGTCCGGGCTCGGGCTTGAGTTGTTCGATAGAGGTGGTGGGATACCTGAAATAGGGTGGAGAGATCTCTCAAGAGTCCAGCAGCTGCTCGCTTGGTTGACGTCACTCTACCCTTTACGTCATCTCAACCACAACTCACCCAGAGAATGCGGCTCCTCCAAATTATTTTCATATGCTAGACTCCGACGTGAGTGAGAGCAGGAGCAGATACCACCAGCTTCTTCAAACGGTCTCATGAAGTCATCCAGTATCATCCGCGGTTTCTCTCCCTCCCATATCTCTTACTCCTACCAGTTACATCCGCCACTCGCAGATGACACTCTGCTTGCTGAATGCACAGCTCACCCCGAAGTTCATACGATGAAAAGGAAAGATCAAATGTTTACTTCGAACGGATCGTCTTGGAGTGATGGAAGCTCGCTTGATGAACATATAGCTGCTGTGAGCGAAGCGCGGTTACGCAAATCCTTATCCGAAAGCCTGATTCTGTCACGTCCTTCTAGTGGATCCGCATCTTTCGATGTTAAGGTGGAATCAAGGATGATCAAACCGAGCAAAGAAGGCATCTGCAATGACAACGACGCTATCGAGCCAGATGATGAAGAGGTCTTCGAAAGTTTAATCGACAATGATGATGACTCCTCTGACTGGGAAAACTCCATCACCGAAAGTGGCCGATCCAGTGTTGACGAGAATAAGCTCTTCCAGTGCGCAGATTCACGTTCGGGCAATGTATCACGGCAATCGTTGCTCACAGCGATGATGCGTCAGTCTCCGCCGTTGACTGTCCACCCTCCTAAAGCAATGAGCGCAGAAGGATCTCGATCGTCACCTGCACATCAACGGTTGCATACTCCACCAAAAGGTTCTTGATAACTTCACATGATGACGACGACCTTGAAAATACCTTGAAAATGCACGGTCTCGGTAGTCCTTGTTCCAAACTGATCGCTACGACGCGTTCCTCTTCTTTCCCAGTCGCCCTTTTACCTCGCACCACATGGAAGAATATGCTAAAAAACCACTGCCAATGCTGTTTTCAAACGACAATATAAAGAACAAGAAAATTCCAAAGCTGGGCAAGGTGACAAGGCCACTTCTGGTCCGTCAACAGAAAAAGAGCAATCCCACGAGAGCAACTCATGGAACCGCTACTTCGATCACGGAACGTGGGAATCCCATGCAAAGGATGGTAGTACCATGATTAACCGCACTATTATTTAATCAAGTTTATTGTCCATACCGAGCCCTAGAGCTATGACAGACCATTATCCGTGGACTTGAGGCCGTTAGCTATTCTACAGTCTCTTATCCCTATAAGTTCCTGGGGCACTAGCCCCCTTCCATACTCTTTCTGATCCTTTTCCTCGCCCCAGACCGCCTGTTTGCGCAGGGCTTTCGAGCACAGTGCTCTCCTTGTGTTTCGTGCGGAATGGGTGCGGCCTAGGCTGACTCCAGCTTAGGCTACCCTTCCTGCTATCCTTCTCCTGTTCGAATTGCCTCCTCCAATGCTTCCAATCCCCATTCATCGTCCCTTTG